TGCCTGACATGTCCAGCTACTCAGGAGGCCTGAGGCAGGAGAATCACTTTGAACCGGGAGGCGAGGTGGTGGTGAGCCAAGATCTGCCATTGCACTGCAGCCTGGGCAAGAACAAAACTCGCGTCTCAAAAAATAAAAATAAATACGGTGGCATAATATACCGATAATTAGTATCTGTCCCATCATATGCGTTCAACAAGTTGGCTGTCATCATTGTTGGTTTTTGTTTTTTGTGTTTTTTTTTTGAGACGGAGTCTTGCTCTGCAGCCCAGGCTGGAGTACAGTGTCGCGATCTCGGCTCACGCAGGCTCTGCCTCCCAGGTTCACACCATTCTCTTGCCTCAGCCTCCCGAGGTAGCTGGGACTACAGGCTCTCGCACAGCGTCTGGCTAATTTTTTGTATTTTTTAGTAGAGACGAGGTTTCCACCGTGTTCGCAGGAATGGTCTTGATCTACTGACCTTGTGATCCGCCCGCCTGGCCTCCAAAAGTGCTGGGATTACACGGGCATGAGCCACCGCACCCAGCCTGTTGTTGGTTTTGTTTTTTTTTTTTTTTTTTTGTTTTTTTTTTTGAGACAGAGTCTCGCTTGTCCACCCAGGCTGGGTGCGTGGCACGATCTACCTCGTGATCCACCCGTCTCGGCCTCCCAAAGTGCTGGGATTACAGGCTTGAGCCACCGTGCCCGGCCGCCTTGTCTTTATTTTATTTTATTTTTATTTATCTATTTTTTTTTTTTGAGACCAATTCTCGCTGTGTTGCCCAGACTGTAGTGCAGTGGCATGATCTCAGCTCACTGCAACTTCCATGATTCTCCTGCCTCAGCTTTCTGAGTTGCTGGGATTACAGGCACCTGCCACCATGCCCGGCTGATTTTTGTATTTTTAATAGAGATGAGGTTTCACCATGCTGTCCAGACTGGTCTCAAATTCCCAACCTCAGGCAATGCGCCCGCCTCAGCCCTCCCATGACGTGCTGGGACTTCAAGGCCATGCAGCCACCATCGCCTGGCTTTTTTTTCTCTTTTTTTTCTTTGAGATGAAGTTTCGCTCTTGTTGCCCAGGCTGGAGTGCAGTGGCGCAGTCTTGGCTTACTGCAACCTTCACCTCCCGGGTTCAAGCGATTCTCCTGCTTCAGCCTCCCAAGTAGCTGGGACTACTGGCGCACACCACCATGCCCAGCTAATTTTTGTATTTTTAGTAGAGACAGGGATTCACCATTTTGGCCAGGATGATCTCCATCTCTTGACCTCGTGATCTGCCTGCCTTGGCCTCCCAAAGTGCTGGGATTAGAGGCATGAGCCACCACACCCAGCCGACATCATTGTTTTTAAGTCATGGCACTTTAGACTATTTCTGACCTTATCCTTAACATGAGTCTATTGGGTTTTGGAAGTAAAATTTGGGGAAATATTAGAAATTCATACGCGAGCTTATGACTTTCATAGAATTAGCCAAGTAAAAGAGCTGAAAAACCTATTCCCATAAATCCCAGCCGCCCTTAGATTTGCATTTCACAGATGTTCTTACGTAGCCCCATCAGCAGCCCTTTGAGATAGGCAGATCAGGTGGCATGACATTCAGCTTACAGGAGAGGTTACAAGACTGCTCGAAGACAGTAAGTGTCAGGAATACTGTGGGAGTGAAGGGCCTCTGTCTGCTAGAAGAGTCCCTCTGAGTTCTTCCACTCTGCTTCCTCTCTGGAGCCAAAACAGCATGAACTTTCTAAGGAGGCTACAAGAAATGTGGCAGCTCCTGACAACCTAAAACACAAGTTTCAAGCAGTTCCCCCTGGAGAGTTCTACACCTATGCTGTAGTGTGGTGATTAGAAACAGGCATTCTGGGCTGGACACGGTGGTTCACGCCTGTAATCCCAGCAGTTTGGGAGGCTCAGGCGGGCTGGCCAACGTGGTGAAACCCTGTCTCTACAAAAATACAGTAATTAGCTGGGCATGACAGTGGGTGCCCGTAATCCCTGCTACTCTGGAAGCTGAGGTGGGAGAATCACTTGAACCTGGGAGACAGAGGTTGCTGTGAGCCAAGATCATGCCATTGCACTCCAGCCTGGGTGACAGAGCGAGACTGTCTCAAAAAAACAAAACAAGACAAAACGAAAACACGATTTTTGGAGTCAGAATACCTGGCCTAGAGTCCCAGCTCCATGATTTATCTACGTTAAAAGACGGGTCTCTGCTGGGCGCAGTGGCTCACACCTGTAAATCTAGCACTTTGGGAGGCCAAGGCAGGTGGATCACCTGAGGTCAGGAGTTCGAGACCAGCCTGGCCAACATAGTGAAACTCCATCTCTACTAAAAATACAAAAATTAGTTGGGTGTGGTGGCGCACACCTGTAATCCCAGCTACTCGGGAGACTGAGGCATGAGAATCGCTTGAACCCGGGAGGCAGAGGTTGCAGTAAGCCAAGATCATGCCATTGCACTCCAGCCTGAGCGACAAAGTGAGACTCTGTCTCAAAAAAAAAAAGAGAGACAGGGTCTCGCTTTGTTGCCCAGGCTAGTCTTGAACTCCTGGGCTCCAGCGATCCTCCTACCTTGGCCTCACAAAGTCCTAGAAGTACAATAGTGAGCCACCGTGCTCAGCCTTTCATGACTTATTGCCATGACTTTGAATAAATTATTAACTTCTTTGCCTCAGTTTCCTCATCTGTACAATAGGGATAATTTTACCTACTTCATAAAGGAGATACTTTTTTTTCTGAAGGTCAGAGTAACTTACAGTAGTTCTGGGGGTTTTTTGGTTTTCATTTTGTTTGGTTTTTAAGCAGAATAGGTACTTTGGTCTCACTCTGTTGCCCCAGCTGGAGTGCAGTGGCACAGTCATAGCTCTCTGCAGCCTTGAACCCTTGGGCTCAAGGGATCCTCTCACCTTAGCCTTCTGAGTAGCTGGGGATGCAGGGGTGCAACACTACATCCAACTAATTCTTTAATTTTCTGTGGAGACGGCTTCTCACTATGTTTCCCTGCTGTTCTTAAACTCTGGCCTCAAGTGGTCCTTGCACCTTGGCCTCCCAAAGTGCTAGAATTACTAGCATGAGCCACCTCGCCCAGCCTGGTACTGTAATAAAAGCAAAATGCTTAGAACAAAGCCCGGTGTACAGTAAGCCCTTAAACATTGGCTATGATCTTGACCATCTCCCTTTGGTAGCCAGACCAAAATATTTAAGAAGCAGAAACTGGCTTTTGTGGTTTTTTGGTAAATTTAAATAAAATTTAAAGAGAAGTAAATAAATATAAAAGTGGGAAAAAAGAAAATAAAAGGAGGAACTATAGCAATAATAGCTAGTGTCTCCTGTGCCAGGCACTGAGCTAGGCATGTTGTGCTTCATCTCATACATGAGGAGCAGGAATTGGTGTTCCCATTTTATAGACAGGAAAACTGAAGCTCAGAAACTTTAAATCATTTGCCCAAGGTCACTCAACTAACACATGACTGAGCCAGGACTTGAACCTAGGAATGTCTGACTCTAAAGATAGGAAAAACTTTGTGGTATTTCTGTTTCTTATTCACTTCCCCAACACTGGTACCCCCCATATTACAGAGGGGGAAGTGGGAGCCAAGTGGATAGCCACCAGGATAGAATCGAGGTTTTCTGAAACCCATCCAGGACTCTTGACAGGCCATAGCTACACCCAGAGAAGGCTGGAGGAGTAGAACTGGCTGGTGCCTCTCCTCACACTCCCATGGCCCACGCATGCTTGGTGGTCTTACAGCAGTGTTCTCCCCTAGAGTGACTGCACCAAGCTCTTCAGCCAGGGCATTGGAGGGGAGCAGGCCCAGGCCAAGTTTGACAGCTGCCTTTCTGACTTGGCCGCCGTGTCCAACAAATTCCGAGACCTCTTGCAGGTAAGCCCCGGGTTCAACTGCTCACTGAATCCTGTGTCTGTATGTTGCTCTGAGAAGATTGTTAGCTGGCTCATCGTGTGCAAGGAAGCCAGGAGGATGGGTGAGGGAGCAGCAAGCAAGCCCTGACACCTGGAGTTGTGCAGGTCCCTTGAGACTAAAGGCCCTGTTGGTTTTTCAGCAGTGAAGTTGTCACACTGACAAGCCAACCTCTGGTCCTCTAGACTTTCCACTTGGCCCCACAATGACAAGAGCCCTCAGAAGATGCTCAGAGGAAGCAGAGTCACATGGTTGTTCTGACCTGTGGCCCTAGCCACAGGTGCTGCCTAGCACCCGGCATTCTGAAATCTCTCGTGAGTCTATCAGAATAGTCTCAAGGCCTCATTGTTACCCTGGACCTGAATCATCTGAGATCCGGAAAGGGGCATGTTCCTGGCTCTTCCTTTCATTAGCACTAGCTCTGTTATAACCTCCAACAGGGCCTGCAGAAAGCCTCAGGGCTGGAAGAACACCCTGCAGTCAAGAGATGGGGAGAGGAGAGAGGGAAGGGGTGGGGAGAGGAGAGAGGGAAGGGGTGGGGAGAGGAGAGAGGGAAGGGGTG